ACCCGTTGTGGAGGTTCTGGACGCGGGAGTGTCTCGAAATGTGCGCAGGTCGAGCCATCGACCTCGCTACGTGACACACTCACAAAGAGACGTAGAGCGCGGCCCAATCGATCCTGCTTCAACTTCTAAGCAACGAATGCTTTAATATGCATGCCTACATGAATGTTCACTTCATTATATGCCCAGTAATGTTTTCGGATAACCCTGGATTGCATGCCCCTTGGGTACCAGATTCCCCAGATGACAGAAAAGCGGCATTCTGAACAAGCTGCATTGTTATTACAGCCACATCTTGAAAAACGAACTTTGACCCCTGCTTTTGACAATCTGTGATTTGTGACCTACATTACATGGACCAGCACGACCTTGCCACTTGTGGCTTAGGGCCTGCACAATTTCTGAGAAATGTGACCTCCGGCATCTGCAGCCTCTGACGGTGACTGCTGACCTGTATAGTCTCTAGTCAAACTGTGCAACCCCGTCTGATCTCTGGACTTCCTCACCGATTTCGCTCCTGTCACGCGGCCCTGACCCGTATGAGCGCTGACCTGTGCAGCCCCTAACGTCTGGCTCCTGACCTGAGTGACCTCTGACCATGCGAAGCCCGCGTGACCTGACCGCGGCCCGACCCGGCAGGACGTGTGGCGGCCGGCGCTGGTGCACTACGGCCGGGAGCCGCGGCCGCCCTCCTGGCAGGCGTCGGACACGGACTCGGACGACCTGGAGGTGCGCTCCATCACGGGGTCACGACCCGAGTACGGCGCCGCCGGCTACAGCAGCGCCAGCGGCGACGACGAGCCCGACCAGAAGTGGACCGTGGTGTGAGACGAGGACGAGCCCGAGCGGACCGTGGTGTGAGACGAGGACGAGCCCGAGCGGACAGTGGTGTGAGACGAGGACGAGCCCGAGCGGACAGTGGTGTGAGACGAGGACGAGCCCAACTGGAAGTGGACCGTGATGTCAGACTAGGACGAGCCTGACTGCAAGAGAGCCGTAGTGTGAAACGAGGACGACGAGATGGGCCAGAAGAAGACGGAAGGATGGGATGAGATTGACGGCATCGGCTTGAAGAGGACAGTCGCGTGAGAGGAAGACGGCATCGGCTGCAAGAGAAACTTGGCGTGGGACGACACATGGGCTCGGCGCGGGAACTGAGTGCACCGCTGTGATACAGATAAACTATATCAAAATGGGGTATGGACGGTGCGGTAGGGCAGGACCGGGCGTGGTGACCGTGCGTCGGCCTGCCCAGCATCGTCTGACGCGCGCGTGTGGACGAGTCCCGGCTCACAAGCGGCATCTCGGCTCAGGTCACGGAATCTCGGCACAGACGCACCTCGCACGGACGCCCAACACCCGTGCTACACCGGGGCGTCACAGCGAGCGCCGAGCAGTGCGGTCTCATCGCCAGAGGACCCGTCCGCCGCCCAGACCTGGTCCGGGAGCCGCCCGTCCGCCCGCTGGCTCAACATCCGCCGGGCCGCTGAAGGAAACGTCACGCGCGGCGATAGATCGGCCCGGAGGGACGAGGCGTCTCTGGAGCGCTGCCGCCGCTGCCACGCACCAGGTCAAGGTCGCGTGCTTCCCGGGGCCGCCGCGGCGCAGTGGCCGGCGGTGCGGAATGCCTGGGCCGGCCGTGCGGCGTCAGGGACGGGCCGCGTCGGTCGCCGCGGTCACAGTCTTTCAGTCTGAGGTGCCTCAACAGCGGAGGGGCGACGGCCCGCCGTCCGCACCCGCCGCGGGTAGTCCGCGTGGGGCCGCTTGTGCCGCGCGCACACGGGGTCCACTATGGACAATCCACGTGCGGCTGTCCGTAGCGAAGGCACTCAAAGCATAATGTAGCTGATGCGGTTATGCGGGCTGTGTACTGTAGTGTGGTGCTGTAGGGTCGGGGACAGATATTGCCAATGGAAGGCGCTGATGGGAAAATGCATGGCGTAGAAATTCGCGCACGGCACGGCTTACGCGACGGGGACGCAACGTAGTATGTAGCATTCGCACAGCTCTAGACTTCGGTTCATGGAGCAAAATATTCTTCCAGGAAAACGGCTACAGAGAACTGCTCACGAGATTCAACTCAACGCATCTTCGAATGTCAAGATGGTTGCTTGTTGATGTAAACGTTGTGGTTATGTTTGGATAGCTTTCCCGGACCGCACAGATCTCCGCAGTAAACAATGATCTGATTAAATTACATCCCACGTAGCCCGCTAACAATTAACAGGTCACTCGTGTTTTCTTGCAATTAACATATATTAAACATCTCCACCATCCCAGAACAGCCAATGATTTCAAATTGCCGAGCTTAAAACAGAGCCGGACGGAGCTCGGGGCTCTGCCACTGACTCAGCGGTGGCGTGACAATGCCCCAGACCCGTCTGAGTCAGCGACGAGTCGATGCCCCAATGAGTCAGCGACGCAAACCATTAGTGGCGGATAAGAACGAGCCGGTGGAGCGGAGCCCCCTTTCGAAAGGTGATAGTTAAGCCATTGATCCTCCGAGCAGCGTTGGCACTCGCGCGGACTCAGTCCGCCCCGTTTCCGTCAGAGGCCATCACATAAGAGCGTCCCTGATAGCTTCATCGCCGGGGGAGAAAATGGGCAATGCTTTCGCTATGACGCAGTGGCTGGCAATAGCTTGAACAGGTCACAAATGACCCTCCGCCATGCTAATTATAAGACGCGATATTTGCAATGACATTTGTTTTCGCCAAACGCTTTAAATACGCGGACCACGCGACTTTGTATGCGGGCGCTTTCCCCTGCGAACCCTGGGCTTACGCGGCCACAGACCTCGCCGTTTCCTGATCTGGAAACGGCGCTGGTTTGAACCAGCCACGACTCCTACCACTCATTCGGTGAATAAACGTACAGTTAGACATCTTTCGGACACTGCCGGCATCTCTCGCACCTTCCTTCATCGCGCAAACAGCTCTGGTACCAGGGCACATCCAACCCTTCGACTTAAGCTGAAAGCCGTACGAGCCTTGCGTGACACAAGCCGCATGGCTAGCTGCGAACATCCCCCGAGGCGCCGCTAAGCTCGCGAGGACGTTGGCGCTTCCCCAGCCCGTCCGTTTCCGATCCTTCCCTTCCCCCTTCCGTCGACGGCCAGCCGGCCGGCTGGGGGTGTTCGCGAGCGGGCATTCCAGGTTGGTGCGGGCACGGGAACGGTGGGGCGTCGTCCTGCCACCCGCTGGCACCGTCACCAGCTCCCAAGCCTCGGCGAGCGCGGCCGCGTGCCCGGCAGAGGGTCCTTCCCTTACCTCGGCAGGCGCAGCCGCGTGCCCGGTAGTGGGTCTTTCTCTCACCTCGGTGGGACACGGCCGCTGGCATCGTCACCAGCTCCCTCGCCCCGGCAGGTGCATTCATGTGGCGGCAATGAGTCCCTCCCAGCCGCGTCAGGTACGAACGCGTACCGGTGATGGGTCCCTACCGAGTCACAGCAGGTACGGGTGCGTAAAAGCAGTGGGTCCTTCCATTGCCACGGCAGGCACGGGCACGTGCCGGTGATGGGTCCCTCCCTTGCCACGGCAGGTACGGGCGCGTGCCGGTGGTGGGTCCGTCACCAGCCGGTGGCCGCCATCGATCGCCGCTGACGAATCAGAGCCCCGCTGTCTCCGGTCGGTCGGCCAGTCGCCCGACGCACGCGCTCCCGGCCGCCAGCTCAGCCGCCCACCCACGCCCCCAACCCCAGATCAAAGATCGCCGCCGTCGCAGTATCGTCCCATATGAGATATCTCTCCACCAACGGAATATTTTTGAACGAGAGTTGGGGTTTCGGCGGCTACAATTTGACGGTCCCGACCCTGCGAAGCAGCCAGCTTTAATATGTGCTCGTAATTTGTTAAGTGACTGTGTGACGTTGACACCTTCGCGTATGGCGGATAATGGACTACAGATGACTGTAAGGGACACAGATCTATTAACCAGGCGGAACGGTGTGCAGCTAACGGACATACAAAAGCATCTAATCTGAGGAGGCTTTTACTATTTTGAGTGAGCTGCGACGGAATAATGGCTACATTGTGTGCACGATCGGACACGCCACTCAGTGTGCTGCAGAACCCAAGAGGCGAATGTATTCGTTTCATTTCCTGTAAGACGTGCATCTGTTTTAATTCCCCGAGCCCAGCAATCCCACCGCACCGTGGCAGCAGCCAGCTAACAATAGCTGCACGCGATGCTTGCGATGTTACGGCCACGGGTGAAACTTATCAGCTTTCGAAGCAGAAGAGTTATCTCAGGTGTCGCGCCTCTCTGGAAGCAAAGTCATATCTGCTGTTTGTTGTAAAGATGCCCAATGACAATTAACACAGAATACGAGTACTAACAAATATATGCACAGTGGTGTCGCTTACAATTCGGTCGACGACTACGATGTTAGCCCGATGATTACATGACAGAGCGCGTCCGCTGACTGAGCTGCAGTGGCCTCTGCCACCCGGCAATTCTATGCGCTTGGTAACGTCTGCTACGCCACCACCCACGTCTTGCCAGCAGTGCAGACGCAGTACAAAACAGCTCCGTTATCCGTACAGTCCGGCTAAAGCAGATCCCGGCCGTGCCGCCAGCGCCGCACCGCCAGACACGGCCAGGGGTGCCCGATTGTCGAGAGCGTCCGAGCAACGCTGGCTCGGAGCCACGTCTAACCTCTCCCTCTGTCCCCCCTCCCCCCCCCCCCCCCCCCCACCACCTACCAGCTTCACTCGCTAGATGTATGCCACGCTTCCAGCGAGAGCGCCAAGCCCTCAAGCCGGTACATCCGTGACTCGATCTGGCGATGTGAAACGTGTATTGCGCAACAAATACAGCTCAGAACATCGTCCGTCTCGGCTGAATGAGCAGCGCCGCCAGCACGGCGGAGGCCGGCCACCTCAGGCCCAGCTCCCGGGTGTCACCGGCCGCCGGCCCTGACCGTGGTCCGGTCGGTGGTGGCGCGGCCCGGCGCCGCTGGCGTGCCAGACGTGTATAAATAGCGGCCCGGCCGGGCGGCAGCTCGCCACCGCCACCGTCGGCCCGCTATCGCCGCCATCTGGGGGCCCCAGGTCACGTGTCAGCCGGCGCGGGGTCGACGGCGAGGTCACCGCCTGCGGGCCGCCGGCGGCGGAGCCACGCGCGCGCGCGCGCGCGCCGCGGCGTCCGCCCGCCTCCACTGCCCGCCGGCGTCCGGTAACAAAGGCGGCACACGCCGAGTCGGCGCACCACGCCGCCAAAATCGATCACCACCGACCGGCCTTGAAGGTCGGCCGAAACCAATCCACTCCCGGCCGGCGACAATGCAAATCCGGCGGCCCGGATCAACAGCGCCAGGCTCGGTCGCCTCCCCCCCCCCCCCCCTCGACACTCCGACGGCAGTTTGGCCTTCCCCCCCCCCCCTCCATCGACACTCCGACGGCAGCAGTTCGGCCAGCCCCCTCCCCTCGTCACTCTCCGACGACAGCCTTGCCTGCGCCCCCCACCCCCCTGTCGACACTCCGACGACAGCTTGGCCTACCCCCCCTCCCCCCCGACACTCCGACAGCAGCTTGGCCTGCCGCCGCCCCCGACACTCCGGCAGCAGTTTGGCCAGCCCCCCCCCCCCTCGCCACTCTCCGACAGCAGCTCAGTTAGCCTCCCTCCACCCAGCCCTCTCCGATGACAGCAGTCTTGGTCAGACACCTCCCGGCACTCCCACGACAGCAACCCCCTAGTGAGACCCTCTACGGCACTCTCCGACGACAGCAGCCGCGCCGCCCGCCCGCCGCGGCGCGACTCACATCCGCAGCAGCTTGTCCTTGCCGCCGCTGACCACGCGCTGGCCGTCGGGGGACCAGTCGACGGCGAACACCTCGTCCGCGTGGCCGGGCAGGTCCAGCTGCAGCTTGCGGCTCCTCATCGACCACACTGGGGACAGACGCGGCCAGGCGTGAGCCGCCGGCCGGACGGCCACAGCTGGGCCGGCGCCGGCGCTGGTGCCCGGTCGTCCGCGCCGAACGCCGGCCGCCCGCGCGCGCGCGCCACCGACGCGTCGGCGAGCGGGGACGCAACCGGAGGAAGGGGAGGAGGCGGGGGAGCATAGTGAAGACATGCCAGCACGGACGAACGGAGGCGTGGGCGCACACGGCGCGGCAGTGCACTCAGACTTCTCACAAAGGGCGAAGAAGCAACGAAACAGGAGGTCCAACACAACGAACAACGCTAGAAAAGGCAGCCGGACAAAAACACAAAAAAAGCTTACAAAAAGTACCAGCCATGCTTTTGTAAGAAGCAACCAGCACAAACAGTAGCAAACAACGGCAATGAAGAGCATTATTTCAACCCTTGCACATCCATCGATCACGAGGCGTCCCGTTATGGGCCGAGCGTGAGCCCGGGCGGCGGAATAGTCGGCTCCTGACCCGGGCGTACACACCACAAAGGTGCCGCCGCCCACCTTTGAGCGTGGAGTCGGCGCTGCCGCTGACCAGCAGGCGGGAGTCGGCCGACCAGGCCACCATGTACACGGCCTGCACGTGGCCGCGCAGCGCCGCCACGAACCTGCCGAGCGCGCGTGTCACACAGGCGTCAGACGACGCTGATGGGCGAGCCGGCCGTGGGGCGGGGGCCACATCACGGCATCGGGCTGGGGCAACAGCACGGCATCGGACTGGGGCTGGGACCCAGGGCACCGGGCTGGAGCGGGGACCCACGACATTGGGCTGGGGCGGGGCCCACACCATGGCGCCGGGCTGGGGTGGGGGCCACACCACGGCACCGGGCTGGAGCGGTGCCACACCACGGCACCGGGCTGGAGCGGCGCCACACCACGGCACCGGGCTGGGGCTGGGACCCACGGCACCGGGCTGGAGCGGGGGCCCACGGCACTGGGCTGGGGTGGGGGGCCACACCACGGTGCCGGGCTGGGGTGGGGGCCACACCACGGCACCGGGCTGGAGCGGCGCCACACCACGGCACCGGGCTGGGGCGGGGGCCGACAACGGCACCGGGCTGGAGCCGACAGGCAACACACTCCGCCTACAGCCGTTTACACTGTGTGCCTAGCTGGCTCGCTGTCTTACTTCTTTATCTTTACGACTGCGTCCCCACACATTGCACAATTGGCTAAAAACTAGATAACATATTTTTTTACAAAGTATTTGGATAGCTCATAGAGCTGACCCGGCATCATTACATTGATCATTTCGAGATTGGCTGTCACGTGCTCGGGTGGGGGATCAAACTGCCCCCCTCCCCTCCCCTCCTGAAGGTTTATCCAGAATGGTGGTCGATCGGCAGGGCGTAGCGGCGCCAAATTTTTCATAGCTGTGGGAAATTGAAAAGCGGATCGTTTGGTGTCAAAAATTTAGATGAACCTTGTAAGGTCACTGACCTACGGCCGGTCAAGGCCAGGCCGTGGATTCAGCGAAGTCAATTTCTAGGGAATCGTTAAATCTCATGCTACAGCGGAGTGTTAGACGAAGCCATACATCTCTGAGATACTTTCTTAGGCAACATAACAGTTAAATGAACGAATTAGATTGACCTAGAGTCAGGTACGAAGGTCCGGCCAAGGTAAAAAACAACCTGTTTTATTACTCTATGGCTTGCTGTACGGGGTAGTTTCTGGTACTCACTTCGAATTTATTGATAACTGTGACTGCATTATACTTCTTCCATGGATTTCTTTACGGTCAGAATAGGGCACTGACCAAAATGACCCGGTCAAAATTTTGTTTTATTGAACATACTGCCTAGAGTACTCATTGTCACTTATTCAAATGCAAAACCCAAACGGTCCTGTATGATTTTGGGCACCATGACCTCCAAAAGGTCAAAGAAGGTATATAACCTTAAATGACAATGTCACCTTTTGCTTAGAACGGGTGTTTAGGTTCCGCGGGTACTTTGGAAACCAACCCGGACTTTGACATTGCTTCAACTTATTTGGCCTGAACGTCCCGACCTAAGAACTTCAAATTTTCGCCTATGTGGGCTCACGTACAGGGCAACACACCCTGTAAATTTAGAGTGTCTAGCTTTCTTAGTGCCTGAGATCTCGGGGGGGGGGGGGCAAATTAACCCGCTCACCCACCCGAGCGCAGGGTATCCAACCGGCCACTCTGGCGAGTGTTAACAATGTACCGGTAATGCTAATTTTCTTCGACATCGATCTATTCACCCCTGAGAAAATGGATCAGTGTGGTTTCTGAGGCTAGTTCCAGACCTGATAATTTGCCGGAAGCCGAGGAATTACGGCTTCAACAGCTTTCGAAAGTCCTCATAATAGGCATATCTTTGGTGGACCACACACAGACACGCGAACACGGCTATTACAAGAAACGACGTTTTTAGATACCGAAGTCCAAAACATATTCCTGGCACGACGTCTATTATCTGATGCCATTTTGATGGCGAGCTCTTTTGACCTCGGGTAATCTCAGGCGACGGGACACACCAAGATCTCTGCCAGTTCAAAAGTACTGCAACCCATGTCCGTAAGGCATGCCTGTAATAACCTCCCGGGATCGGTGTGGGGCAAGACACTTGCGAGCTGACAGTGTACGAACTAGAAGCCATCTGTCAAGCAGGCGCGTCGACCGGCAAGGGAAACGGAAGCAAACGAAACAAGCACCGCCTTACGAACACACCATCACGTGCGCCACATTTTCCATCAGCTGGACAGCCGCGGCATAGGACGGTCGCGCCGTTTGTCTCCGCCTCGCTGTCGGGCGGCGTGCTCCGCCACAAATGGCCCTGGAGCGATCGGCTGGCCGCTGCACAGTGCCTTGTTAAGGGGAGATCCTGGGAAGTGTACTGACGCACGCCCGGCGGCCACGACACCGGTGCGACTGGGCCACCTTTACAACCAGGTGCCAACCACTTCCACGAAGCGGTTTGTTTTAATTTGCATTTTGATTTGACAAGCTGTGGTTATTCACTTCTGGGATGATATACGCGTTCCCCTCCAATGGTTAGATGTGATGGTAGATCTTGTAGAGTGCAGAGGCCAGAGTAGAGTGCCAGAGTGCAGGTCAAAACTCCGTCAAAGGGACTATTCCAGGAGCATATTTTTAGTACATGCGGGTTCAAAAATGCGTGGTTTCTCGTAGTTATCACGTGTTCGTATTTCGCCGTGGTCTGCAAAAAGAATTGTTGATCCCGGGACCGCTTCAAATCGTTGGAACTTCAAGCCATAAGCCATTGCTATAGTCGAGCTCGAATGTTCGGCTCGCAAAAACCCTTTCCGTCAATTTGGGCTTTACTTAATTGGCTTCTGAGGGAGAAAATACATGTTCCAAGAAATAGGTGGAAAATCGCAGATGTCTTTACGTAAGAACTTACCAACACATTTTACATTCACGTTTTACGTGTATCCCACGCACACAAATCACACTATACATACCACACATTTTGGCTGTAGAACGCCTGTCTTCTTTCGACACATCGCGGTACGTCAACCCAGTCGTCGGTGAATGACACCTGTAGCAGGTGCGAGAGATACACCCGGCGGCTGTGGTGGGTCACGTCCCTCCGTCAGTCACACAGGACGGGTTCAGAGACACACCCGGCGGCTGTGGTGGGTTACATCCCTCCGTCAGTCAGACAGGACAGGTTCAGAGACACACCCGGCGGCTGTGGTGGGCTACATCCCTCCGTCAGTCAGACAGGACAGGTTCAGAGACGCACCCGGCGGCTGTGGTGGGTCACGTCTCTCCGTCAGTCAGACAGGTCCAGAGACACACCCGGCGGCTGTGGTGGGTTACATCCCTCCGTCAGTCAGACAGGACAGGTCCAGAGACACACCCGGCGGCTGTGGTGGGTCACGTTCCTCCGTCAGTCAGACAGGTCCAGAGACACACCCGGCGGCTGTGGTGGGCTACATCCCTCCGTCAGTCAGGCAGGACAGGTCCAGAGACACACCCGGCGGCTGTGGTGGGTCACGTTCCTCTGTCAGTCACACAGGACAGGTCCAGAGACACACCCGGCGGCTGTGGTGGGTCACGTTCCTCCGTCAGTCAGACAGGTCCAGAGACACACCCGGCGGCTGTGGTGGGTCACGTTCCTCCGTCAGTCACACAGGACAGGTCCAGAGACACACCCGGCGGCTGTGGTGGGTTACATCCCTCCGTCAGTCAGACAGGACAGGTTCAGAGACACACCCGGCGGCTGTGGTGGGTTACATCCCTCCGTCAGTCAGACAGGACAGGTTCAGAGACACACCCGGGGGCTGTGGCGGGTTACATCCCTCCGTCAGTCAGACAGGACAGGTCCAGAGACACACCCGGCGGCTGTGGTGGGCTACATCCCTCCGTCAGTCAGACAGGACAGGTTCCGAGACGCACCCGGCGGCTGTGGTGGATCACGTCTCTCCGTCAGTCAGACAGGTCCAGAGACACACCCGGCGGCTGTGGTGGGTCACGTCCCTCCGTCAGTCAGACAGGACAGGTCCAGAGACACACCCGACGGCTGTGGTGGGTCACGTCCCTCCGTCAGTCAGACAGGACAGGTCCACGGACACACCCAGCAGCTGTGGTGGGTCACGTCCCTCCGTCAGTCAGAGAGGACAGGTCCAGAGACACACCCGACGGCTGCAGTGGGCCACGTCCCTCCGTCAGTCAGACAGGACAGGTCCAGAGACACACCCGACGGCTGTGGTGGGTCACGTCCCTCCGTCAGTCAGACAGGACAGGTTCAGAGACACACCCGGCGGCTGTGGTGGGTTACATCCCTCCGTCAGTCAGACAGGACAGGTTCAGAGACACACCCGACGGCTGTGGTGGGTCACGTCCCTCCGTCAGTCAGACAGGACAGGTCCAGAGACACACCCGGCGGCTGTGGTGGGTCACATCTCTCCGTCAGTCAGACAGGTCCAGAGACACACCCGGCGGCTGTGGTGGGTTACATCCCTCCGTCAGTCAGACAGGACAGGTCCAGAGACACACCCGGCGGCTGTGGTGGGTCACATCCCTCCGTCAGTCAGGCAGGACAGGTCCAGAGACACACCCGGCGGCTGTGGTGGGTCACGCCCATCCGTCAGTCAGACAGGACAGGTCCAGAGACACGCCCGGCGGCTGTGGTGGGTCACATCCCTTCGCCAGTCAGGCAAGCGCGGGCAATGCCACCGCCGCGGGGAGTCGGCCACTATGCAATACGGACCGTAACCCACGGCGACCGGCTATTCCCAACACCAGCCGCGCCACAGTCTGACCTAGATGAATGGCACAACTAGCAGACGGGAGCCGCTGCTTCATACGAGGCCGGACGCCCGCCGCCGATGTTTGTGTTCTCAGGTGCTCGGCCAATTAATGAGTGATCACGGCGGCGGCTCGGCAGGCGGCGGCGGGGCCCAGATCTGCACCTCGCGCCCGCCGCCGCGCCAACGGTAACACCGGGCGCTGTCAGAGCCCGCCGCCCCGACGCGGCGGTATGCGCCGCCGCCAGCACCGAGCCACCCGCCGACCATTAGCCGTCCATAGCTGCCGAGTCAGCTCGTCAGGCGCGCGAGAGCTCGTGAGCCCCTGTCAGAGACAGCAGCGGAACTGATAACTGTCATCTGCCATGATATTTCGCGGAGATTTTGTCTCGCGGCAGCGGCCAGCCGGGCACCAGCAGCTTGCCTTGAGGCGTCGGCCAAAACTTCGTCAGGAGGGCTCTGAATGAATGAGGATGTCTTGGTGATCGGGACGTATTGATGTCTGCAATCAATATCAATCAATCCCTACTCAACTGAGAACAGTGTTATCAGCGTGTATGTGTGTGTGTGAGGGGGGGGGGGGCTCTTTGATCTTGTATGGGCGTGCGTTCAATAGTAGGCAGTGGTGCATACCTATCGATATTCGACAGCTGACGGCAGGCAATGGAAGGCGCCAGACAGGCGACATTTGCGTTGACACATGGCGGAGTTTGTGGCCAACCGGCTGGGTCCCGTCAGGTCAGGTCAGCGGGGTCGACTGGCGACTTGTGACCGGCCGGGTCAGCGCAACGGGGCCGACCGGCGACTTGTGACCGATCGGGCCAAGTCAGTGAGGACGACTGGCGACTTGTGACCGACCAGGTCAGGTCAGCGGAGCCGACCGGCGACTTGTGACCGCCGAGCGGGGTCAGCGGGGCCGACTGGCGACTTATGACCGGCCGGGTCAGGTCAGCGGGACCGACCGGCGACTTGTGACCGGCCGGGTCAGGTCAGCGGGGCCGACTGGCGGCTTGTGACCGGCCAGGTCAGGTTAGCGGAACCGACTGGCGACTTGTGACCGGCCAGGTCAGGTCAGCGAGGCCAACTAGCGACTTGTGACCGGCCGGGCGGGGTCAGCGAGGCCAACTGGCGACTTGTGACCGGCCGGGTCAGGTCAGCGCAGCCGGGGCGGGCCGCCGGTGGCGGCGCCGGCTCTTCTGCCCCCTGTCCTGCCACTTGGCGTACAGCCGGTCACCACCACACGGTCCTGGCCTCTGTACTCACGATCCAGGCCCGTCGGATGGTAACTCCAGACCGGAGACTTGTGACCCGGCACTCGTCAAACCACCTCCGCGCCGCAATGGTGAAGAATGCCACTTTTTCGGCCCAGGAAAGAGGGCGGATGTCCGTACACATCCATCGCACCAGCGGCGGAGTTCACAACGGCTCAGCTCCCGCACTTAAGCAATGCATGCATGGGGAGGTAATACCGACACCTGGCTCACTAGACGGCCCTCAACGACTGTGCCGGACAACTACGCACGCCTACCACAGAGACGCCAGGCGCCGTTGATTCGGCGCCAAGCTTGTCATGGGTGGGATGGGGTTAGGGTGGGGAGCAAACCCTCCCCTCTAGACACTGAGGGATGAAGGATTGCTACCCCTTCCAACGCACGTGGGTGGCCTTATCTTGACGGCAGGCTACTGCTGCCTGACAAGAGGCTGCCTTCCTCCGGTCCGGTGCTCCAAGCACACATCTTGGGGCTCCATACCAAACTGTATCTTATGCCAGAGCGGCACAAGACACACCGGGCAGGCAAAGCTTCAACAAGGCAGCAAACCTGGGTCAGAAGACGCCCTGTTGGTCGCACCATTGCCAGACAGCCCGGCCACAGTATGCCGTCAAGCACTCACTTTCCCGTCTTGCCCTCCCAGAGGCGTATCGATTTGTCGAACGAGGCGGAAGCGATGAGCCGGGCATCCGGCGAGAAGCGGACGTCGTTGATCAGCTGTTGGTGGCCGGTCATCCGCGCTGCCGACAGACGGCGTGACCTCACCACGCGGCGCGGGACGGGCCGCGGCGGGCAGGACGACGCCACAAGCCGTGGGACACTCGGCGCCACCGTGCGTAACCGGACTCAAACACATTTACCACGCGCGCTGCGTGATGCACAGGACATGTGTAAGGAATGTCAGATTGTCCCTGACTGCACTGACTTAATTTCTTACTCTTCAAGGTGCGAAAGAAACCGTACCAGTCGCGAACATGTCTGCTGTTTCATTACATACGAACTGTGTGACGCTGCCTCCACTAACGTGTAGCGTCCACGCGTGCGTTGTGTTCGCACGACCGCACGCTTCGACTATCCTGATACGGCCATGTGCACCATAACTCATCTCCTGGTTATGATTGATGATGGATCCACTCACCCAGAGGCTTAGTGCCCTTCACTGGATTCCAGAGGAACATGGTGAAGTCGTCACTGCCCGATACCAGTCTCTCCTCGCCACCGCTAGATGCCAGTAACGTCGCGTACCGCTTCTTGGCGGCTGCCAACTTCTCATCATCTGCCAAACATGCATTCATTCAACGAGCGTATACTCGCTGATCCTCCCATAGCAGAAAGACGTTTGCATACGCGATGAACGTCGATACGGCGACGGCAAGCAGTCAGCTGGTGCGGGCACGCGTAAGTAGTACCTGTGCGTTTGTCCGCTAGATGTCCGACGTCGCCGCTGGCCGGGTCATACGCCCGTCCGCATGAGTAGTCTGTGCTCAGCGCCAGCGTGTTGACCCAGTGACCGTGGCCTTGCAGTGCCCGGCACATTGCTCCCTGCAGCATGGAGCACATACTAGCCATCACGAGCCGCTACGATATGATGGGTATTTCAATCAGATGCAATCCTTGAAACAAATATGACTGTTTGGATTATGTTGGGCACCCTACAGCAGTCACCTTGCGTATCTTGAGTGAAGCCTTTTGACGCTGCAAGCAAAGTTACACGTTGTGGAAGTTCTTAAACGAACCAGTGTACCAAAACATGTGTTTGTACACTATGACATGTTTTTTGATCGCATGTTCCTACAAAAGCCTCCGCTTCATCTCAGTTATTAGTGCGCTTTCACTGCTACAGAACCAGCGCCGCTCAGCCACGGAGACTCACGTCGGTGGCGGCCCACACTCGTACACTGCGGTCTTGGGAGGCCGCTGTAGAGGAGGTCGGCGCCGCCCCAGCGAGGCACGTCACCGACTGCCGGTGCCCCGTCAGTACGCGCAGGCACCGCTGCAGCTGGGCGTCCCACACGCGGACGTCACCGTCCTTCGAGCTGGACGCCAGCAGTCGAGACTGACCCTACTCGGAGCTGAAACACGGCCAGATACGTTCAGACGTGTGACGGGTTCGGCTGAACACAGACCCGATACGTCAGCCGCGTGACCGGGCTCGGTGCTGAAGCACGGCCCGATACGTCAGCCGTGTAACCGGGTCCGGTGCTGAAGCATGGCCCGATACATCAGGCGTGTGACCGGGCTCGGAGCTGAAACACGGCCCGATACATCATCCGTGTGACCGGGCTCGGTGCTGAAACACGGTCTGACACATTGCCGTCTGCAGCCCGATACGATGCGACAGTTGACAATCGCGGCCCAGCGACACAATAGGCGTTCACAGAGGATACTGTAAAAGACGGACTTTCTACGGTTTCAGTTCAATCGACACACAGGCAAGGGACGTCAGGTGAAGACAGACAACAGCACCTGTGCAAGGGCTGCCAGCAGATGTGTGTGATCCACTGTTTGTGTCCTGTTAGCGGTTTGCCCTCCTGCTTGCCGGAGACCGGTTCCCAGAGGCGGACCTCGCCCGACTTGCAGCCGGAAGCGAGCAGGCGGCAGTCGGGCGACCAGGCGATGCAGAGCACCCAGTGACGGTGACCTGCGGCCGGCCACACGACGGTCCGTCAGGCGGCGCCAGGTCACGGTAACCCGGCAGGGGCACTGCTGAGGCCGGACAAACCACAACCATGCAATAGTGACCGTTGTTACGTCCGGACACGAGGCCAGGAGTAGACACGACGTGGATTGGTCTCACGGTGTGAAATAAACAAGTACGCTATAGCCCGTGAAACGTGCCACGCTACACAAAACGCTCATGGGAACGACTGGTATACAGCCCCACTTTGCTGAACAGGTCGCACGTCAGCCCGCGTTCGTTCCGTGCAGGCTGCCACTGCTCGCTGCCATCAGACAGCCAGACCACTCCTAGCAACAACCGCTCGGTCGCGACCCGGCTCGGGCCGCCACTCACTGACCGGGATGACGTCACTCACGGACTGGGTGGCGTCACACCGAGGGACGACTGACCGGTGCATGTGTGCTGGGGCGTTTCTGTGCTGACGTCCCAGAACCGGACCGTCTTGTCCCCGGAGCCGCTGGCCAGGGAGCAGCCGTCGGGCGAAAAGCTGGCCGAGATGACCGGTTCGGCGTGGCCGGGGATCGAGCTGTCGGACACGGACCAGAGACCGCTCAGAGCCGGCGTACCGGCTCGGGGAGGGGGAGGGAGAGGGTGGTTCATCGTGGCCAGACCGGCTCGGCGTGGCCGGGATCGAGCTGCCGCACACGGACCAAAGATCGCTCAGAGCCGGCGCACCGGCTCGGG